TGATAATATTTTAAAATAATAATAATAAGTAGAAAAATATATTTTTACAGTTTGTCCGACTCATGAAAATGCATCAAGACAAGGATTTTCATTGGTCCGATTTGAATTCTGATACGAAGGGAGGGGAAAAAAAATATTTATGTATACATCGACCATTACTCAAAAGAAAAGAAGCCGAATCGTAAATAAATAATATATATAAATATATATATATATATATATATATTAAAAATAAATAAATAAATAAGAAAAACGAATGCGAGAAAAGATAAAAATAAATTTTTCTTTTTTTTTTTTAGATTATTTTACGTACGATAATTGAGGCGTATATTTAAATTTTATGTATTTTTCACACGCGCACGCGCACTCACGCGTTTACATACGAATATTTTAATTATTATTATTTTTTGATAACCGTTAATATTATCTATATATAATTAATATCATTCTAACTTACATATATACGTTCTATAATAATAATAAATTTTTATAAAGTTTCAATTTTGTAAATGTATATATATATATATATATTTATATAGTGTAAAGAAAGAAAGAAAAACGGAAAAGCGGAAGAAATTAAATTGTGATTAATATGTTGATGAGAGAAAATTTTAAAACGGAAATAATAACGAAAAATGAAAAAAAAAATTATGATTCCGATAAAATAAAAAAAATATTTTTTCCGGTCTATACGAGATTAATGGACGACATCGATATACATTTAGAATTGGAAAATTATTTGGAAACAATTAAAAAAATAAATGAAAACCGTGAAATTTCAAATGATGATAATGATGAATGTGATGACAATGAATGTAATGACGATGATGGGGATGACGATGATGGTGATGACGATGATGAAAAAAATGACGTTAAAATAATTGATTACGATTCGGATTTTTCCCCCAGTAGAGAAAATATTGATAATAAATCATATACGAAGGAAAAGATAAAACGTAAAATTGAAACCTATGATACTCCATTACCATCATCATCATCATCGGCTTCGCAGGTTTTTGTTAAATCAAAAGTAAATAAAATCAAATCGAAAATTTCAATTTCATCATCAGCGGATGGAAAAAATAAAACTTTGGGAAAATCATCAAACGAAATATTTTTACTATCATCCGTTTCGAACGAAACTTTCACAATTGTTAGATCTTCGAACACGAATTTATCAAAAGAAGAAGAAAAACTCGATGATGATGATATATTGAAAACAAGCGAACAAATTAAAACGTTTGAACACGGTGATAAAAATTTCAAAATTTCAAAATCGGTCGAATGCGATTTATCCAATTCATCTTCTGAATATACCGATTGCGTAACGGAAACGTCATCTTTCTCTTCGGGAAAATCTCAAAAACATCCACGCGTTTTTAATAATTCGTCGGTTAAAAATAAAAAAAATAAAAATAAAATAAAAAAAGCTCGTTATACGCCATCGATCGAAGCTTTATTCGATATATATAATACGATATTAATCGATAAGAAAAAGAAAAAAAAGTCAAACAATAAAAAACATAAAACTTTGCTATCGTTTGTCGAGTTATTACTCAAAGCAAAATTAAACGATACGAAAATTTTTAAATTTCCACAAATAAAAGATCCAAATAATTTGAAACCAACTCTTGGAAAACTTGATTTTGAGAAAAAAACCCCCGGAATTCATTATACTCGAACTCAAACCGTACAAGAATACGTTACTCTGGTACAATGCATGTTATCATTGTTACCAATACATCACATAAGCGTATTGAATGATATAACAGATAAAGTTCGTAACACTTTTCACAGTAATGTCAACATAACGATAAGAAAAAGGGAAATAAACAAAACGAAAGTTAACAAACCTGAAAACAAAACAAAAAAAACAATTCGAGAGAAAAAAATTATAAAAAAAAATAATCACGATATAATAAATCAATTTGTTAACGGAGAGTTGTTTCCAGCACGGGATAAGAGGGGAAAAAATTTGAAAATGTTACCTGGGAAAAAATTTTTTGGAAAAAAAAATTTTATAACGGAAAAAAAATTATTGACTGATTTGTACGAACAAAATAAAAAATTATTAATAAATTTTAAATTATCCGATAATGAAATGTCGATAAATAAAAATAATAAATCGATATCGAAAGTGTCTCCCGTTAATAATAATAATAATAATAATAATAATAATTTGAGTTCACCTTCTGAAAATGTTAAAGGTACTTATAAAAAAATTTTTTCATCAATTGAAGAAGAAAAAAAAGAAGCGACTGGAAAATCATCGAAAACAAATTTGGAATGTGGAAAAATTATAAAATCATCGAATCATCCTTTTGATAAAACGACTTATGACAACGAAGGGAAAATTATAAAAAATAATTTTCCGGAAACGCAATCGAAAATTTCCAAGACGACGGTCGCTGATGAAATTGTCGAATCTTCAAACATTCGAAAAAATAATGAATTCGCATACGTTTCCGGTAAAAAAGAAATACCTGAATATCCGGTTCATAATAAAATATTTAAAGAATTTTTAACGAGTAAAAAATCATCGGAACATTTATTTACGAGTCCTCCTCGTACCCCGAATACTCCAAATTCGAAAACGATCGATTCGGTTAAATCGAAAAAAAATATACCGGAAGTATCGTCGGAGAAAAACACGATCGAGACCGCGAATGGAAAAACGAGTAAAATCGTGGAAGATAAAATAAGTCGTGGAAAATGTAAAACTACGACAAGCGTTACAAAACCTTTAACTTCCAACACCGATAAACGTAGTTCGAAAGAAAATTTAACTGATGATGATAATAATAATAATAAGATCGATGATGACGATGATAATAATAATAATAATGATGATGATGGTACACACGAAGATCATTTAAATTTCGATTTGAAAAAATTTTCAGCAAATTTTTTCAATTATAATAAATGCAAATTAAACTTTCGTCGTACCCTAAATGTAACAACGGAAAAATCAAATTTTCACATTAAAAAAACTAATGGAAAAATTATTAAACAACCATCGAGTTATAATAATAATAATAATAATAATAATAATAATAATAATAATAATTTAAATAGAGAACCTAAAAAAAAATTAACGAATTTTAATATTGAAAATTTGGAAAAACAAAATTATAATCCCACAGTAACTCCTGGAATTTTTTGGGATAAGAAAAAACCGTATAAAAAAACTACTCCAGCTGTCGATTCGTCATTCAATAAATTTAATCATAATAATAATAATTATTATTATTATTATAATTATGATAATAATAATAAAATATCAAAACCGATAGAAAAAAAATTTAAAAATTTATGCGATAAAATTTGTTGTAAATTATCGAACGAAACAAATTCCAGGATGATTTCGCCCACAATAATCCAAAAATCTCAACGGACAAAACCTGTGGGAAAAAAAATGTCGCCTTTCATAAAACAAATGAAAACGTTAAAAGAAAATCTCGATGCTATTTTAAACGAATCCGAAATAAAAAATACAAATTTAACAAGCGACGTTAAAGAAGAAAAACCATTTGAAAAAAAATTACCGAATAATATTAATTTTAAATTAAATCAATCGATAAATGATAATAATAATATCAGGCGTCAAGAGATTAAATGGGTGAAAAATTTACACAAAAGTAAATCGCATACATTATTAACAATGAAAAAAAATAAAGAAAAATCAGATGTTGCTTTAACAAAAACAATATCGGATTCATTTTTATTAGATTCTAAAAACAAAACGTTTTTCATATTCGGACCCGTTAATATATCAGACGAATATGAAAAAATAAGTTTTCCATCCCTTATAATACAATCGGATTCTCACATAAATACAAAATCTATAATTCCGTTGACGATAAACAATTTGAAAAAATTAATCGAAACGAATTCGGATAAGAAATTTTTCCCAGGAAGATTAACGGATTCGGAAAATGATCCCCCGTTTGTTACTTTCATGTTCGTACCGAAAAAAAAAGAAATGACCGATGGTATACCATCGAAACAAATAAGAGCTGTTTTTTTGGATAATAAATGTTACGAAAGCGATTCACGTCCTCATTACGATGAAAAAGATATTAAAATCAAGGTATGGAAATTTTTTTTTACTGGACAAAAATATTATGGATTATATCAATGACGTAACAAACAGACCGATTAATTGGTTTTTTCTTTTCTTTTTTATAGGAAGATTTGAAAAAAATTGAAAAATTTATCGACACTTTACCGAAATTGACGACGGTGAAAAGAATCCCCGAAAAACAGGAAGAACGTCAAGATCAATCGAAAACCATGCAAAACCATGCAAAACCATCTAAAAAATTATTATCGTCAAAGAAAAGTAATTTTTTAAAAGAGGTAAATAGTTGCACGAGTAAAACGATTCCGAAAAAGAAAAACAAAAATACATTGTACGGATGCGATGTGAAAAAACAAACAATTGTTCCGTTGAAAAAACAAGAGAATGCCAACAACAATAACGACAACAACAACAACAACGACAGCAGCAACATGAATTCGGGGCAACGCAACGATGATGAAAATAAAAAAAATTACACGGAAATTGTAGACGAGTTGATTAATTTAATTAAAATAAAAGAAAGTCTGTCGGAAGACAACAAACAACAACAAACGACGGAAACAAACGATTTAAGCACAGTAATCAAAGATATATTCGACATTGTCATGAAAATAAAAAAAAAATTTGAAATTTCCGATGTTGTCAGCACTTCTTCCAGCACGAGCGATCTTCACATAAAACAAGATGAAAATTTAATGAGTAAAAAAATTGATGACGTCATTAATTCAAACTTTTTACAATGTTTAACGACGATACAAAAACAAGAAACGGATACGGATGAAAACAAACCGGAAACAACGTACAAAAAATCGTCTTTAAACGACAGCGAAACGATTCTCCAAATGATAAAACCTGATCCTGAAGAAAAAAAGCAGACGACAGATTTTGATAAAGAAATTCATTCAAAACCCCCCGTATGTCTTAATGAACCGATTGAAATTTTTTCCAACGACGTTCAATCTCAAAAATCAATATGTCCGATTATTGATTATATTATTAATAATAATAATAAAAATAAAAATTCAAAACTATTCACGTTTGAAAGTTAGTAAGTTTCCATTATTGTTTTTGTTTACACGTTTACTTAATTCCGTTTGTCCGAAAATTTTTTTTTGTTTTTTTTTCTTTTTTTACCCCTTTTAGATATTTACTTGAAAACATCGTTACCGGAAACGGCTATTTGGAGAAATTGTTGCAATAATGATTATAATAATGATCCTAAATTTAAAGTTATCAATTTATCGAATTCTTGCATCGTTTCACAAATGACAACAATGACGGAAGACGAAGTTTTTAAAGAAATTGATTTTTGCTTACGCGAAAATTACGTTTTTCAGGCAATTAAATTACTGGAATCTTTTTACAATAGTTATTTGTCTTTTTACGACCCCGACTTTAAACGCAATCGTATAAATAATAATAATAATATCGAATACGATAATGACAATTCATCAAAAATATTATTAAAATCTCTAACTGATAAATGTAAATGTTTGACTGGAGAAATAGAAAAAAAAGCCTGGTTAAAAGTTTTATGGAATTTAAACGAAGTAACAAAAATATTTTCCGTACCTAATAATCCGGCCGGCGTTTATTCTCTCACCGAAAATGAATTTTCTGAAAAAATAAAAGAAACTATATTTTTGGAACCTAAAATAATTAAAAGTTTAATACATCTCGAAAAGCAAATATACAAAACGAAAATTTTTATGAAAACCGTTAAAAAATTTAATTCTGATACTAAAATATCCAATCGAAATACTCTCAATGACCATGACGATGATGATGATGATGATGATACAGATTTATTGTGGTACGATGCTCCGGAGGAAAACGTGAAAAAACAAAATGGTGGTAACGATAATGATAATCATTGTTACGCGAATTTATTTTTTAGCTTTTGCAAGGTAATAATTATGAATTTGTCAAATTATTTAATAAAAAAATTATATCCGGACAATAAAATTTACGAAACGAAATCAAATGAAAAAAACGTTTGTGACGTGGAAAATGAAAATTTGTTAAACGAATCGAATGTTTCTCTATTTCGTCACGATATTGAAAACGATTTAAAAATAGTTAATAATACGAATAATAATAATAATAATAATAATAATAATGTTAAAAATCATTGCTTGGATGGAGTTAAAGATAGAATAAGAGAAAAAAGGATATTCGTACAATATCTTATGGATTTAATAAGGGATCCGGTACTTCCGGATGTTCAAATGGTTAAAGAAATCGTAGCTAAAAAAATTCAATCACTCGAACATTCAGTTTTTGCTCTGGAACGTCATTACAATAGATTAAACGGTTATAAAAATTACATGGCATTAAAAATAAAATCAAGAAAATGGCGTGGAATAAGATATTTTTTTAAATTTTTTTATAAATATTTTGTCGTTAGGAAATCGGAAAATCGTCGTAATATCAATATTAATTAAAATTTACCGGATAATTTTAGTTTTGTTTCGTCATCTTTGAAAAAAATATGGTACACGAGAAATGATGGTTCGTCATCATCATCTTTAATTTAATAAGAAAAAAAAAAAAAAACTTCTAGAACATTTACTTTTATTTTTTTTTAAATGTTTAAATTTTAAGTAACTAATTTATTTGTTTTTTTCTTTATGCTTAAAAAAATTGTCTGTGCCTTTTTTTTCAATTAGTTTTAAAATTTATTAAAGTTATTTTAATTGTACTTAAATAATTCAATAAAATAAATAATTAAAACGTTTTTATTTTTTTTATTATTTTTTCCTTTTTTATCCCACTTGAGGAAGGTTCCGGTACTTCCCCTTTTTACCCCTCGAGAGACAGTCCCGATTTGTTACCAACGTTCCTGCCTCATCATCTTTGTCTTCCTTTCACATCGCAGCTCTGCATTTTCCCTACTTGAATCAAGTACCCAGTTTCACCCCCTCGAACAAGGATCCACACATCCTCAATGCCTCAAAAGAGTTCTAACTCACTTATCCTCTTACTTAGGTACAGGTCTGTTCTTGTTTGAAAGAGCTGAAATTGAACTCCCACTCTCAAGACTTGAACCCACTACTCTCAATTAGGTGACTTTTGGGCCGATTTCTCCCCTTTTTAAGCTCAACTCGGGCTCCCCCAAGGTATCCAAGTTGAAGATTTACCCCTAGTGGGAAATCCGATTCCAGAATCTCCGCCCTTAAAACATCCTCTACATCTAGCCCCCAAGTAGTTGGATTACAGGAGTACACCACCACTCCCGATTAACGGAGTGCTCCCGAGGGCACTCCCGACTTTATTATTTTTTCCTTACATAATTAAATTTTTTTTTTATGTGTTTAATACTCCTACACGCAGACTTTATTACGAACATTCGATAGTTTTAAAACTTAAATTTAAAATACAAAAAAGTACCAACATAATAAATAGTAAAGTGGAAGAAGAAGAACTTGAAAATTATATCATGACCGTTGTAAAATATTGCCAACATAAAAAATTTATTAGGTACTTTTCATAAACATAAACAAAATTTTTTTAAATTTTTTTTTGGGGGGGGGAAAATATATATAGATTTTTTTTTGTTTAAATTTTTAAAAAATTACAAAATGAATGAGGTAATTGTAAAATAAAAATACATCTTTTAAAAATTATTATTATTAATAAGAAAAATAAAAAATTTTAGGATGAAGACAGTACGTGTTCGAAGGAGAGTGAAAACGTGACATGTTTGGAATCACATAAAAACAAATCAAATCATAAAATTGATAATAAAAAAAATCCATATTTGAAAAAAACATATGAGCAAGTGGCTTTGGATCAAAAAAATTATAGAATTTATAGAAACATGATGTACGATCCAGATCCTGTGGAAATTCATAAAATATCCAGGGAAGAAGAATTTTTTGAAGGATCGAAAACGTCAAACAGGATAACAGGGAAACCTTATAAAAATCCAATTAGAGAAAAAAAAAAAAATTTTATCGGTCATCATTTATTAGTTAACAATTGTTGGGAAGTGACAAATAAAGAAAATTCTAAAAAATTTCTAGAAATTTTTAAAGAGCCTAATAATGATTTAGATGACGAAGGTGATTTCGAAACGATAAAAAAAAAACAATATGGAGAAGGGAAAAAATTCAAACGTGGTAAATCTCCACCGTACACGAAAGAATTTCATTCTTTGACCGAAGTTCAAAAAACGAGAATACTTAAAATTATAGAAGACGTTATTAAAAAATTAGCAGACGACGATTGTGCACATTCCAAATTATATCTCGATGATAATAATGATAAATTATTACCTGGTTTGCCACACCAATGCACGTCAAATAAAAAATCATCTTGTAGAAAATTTTCTATTTCTTGGATAATAATTAAAATATTCGAAATGGTAACTTAAACTTATCTCTCAACTTGAATCATTCAGACATATTAATAAATATTCTCTTACTTTGTTTTCCAGATTTTGTGTCACGTTATCCAGTTAATTTTTCTCACCGAAAATTATTGCATGGAAAATAAAAACGAATTTTTACCCGCCATATTTACATATTACATAACATTATTTATAGTTTTTATATCATTGGTAGCACAATTGGGTAGTTTAAATTGTAATCAAATACACAATCCCTGTTATTTTATGGTAAATAATAATTTAACACAATCAAACACAAGAAACCGACTTGCACGAACTTAATTTTCGGGGCCACTAATTTGCGCGCCAAAATCATTTGTTTATTTTTTTTTTAAGGGTGTCATTTCGTCATCGGTGCTCACGCTCATTACGTCATTAGGAATGTTAATTATATTGACTTCGTTGAAATATTATAAATCATTTTTACAAATATTGGTTTTGGTCATCGTCGGAACAATTATTTGTTTTATTTTTTTCGAATTGTGTTTGTTTTATAACGAAGTGAAAAACATTTGGAACAAGGGAATTTTTATCGATCAATTTTACGATACCTGAACGCGCTCAATTGTTTTCTCATCTTGGATATGATGATTTCGTCATCAACGACTAAACAGAAAAATGACAAATTATGTGAGGTATACGATTATAAGAAAACAATTTTTGTTTTATTTTTTTATATATTTAACTGTTTATCCGTAAACATAGATAACGAACTGATAAGATTTTCGTTTTGCTCTTTTACAAAAAAAATTAGTACAACGAAGTAAACTTTTATCCTCGTGAGATTACGTTATAAAGAAAAAAAAATTCAAATTTTGTTTTTTATTTTTCCGTTACAACCTCAAAATGTTTGCAAAAATAATAACGTTTCGTTTTATTTTTATTTTATCGAGTAAGCAAAAAAACTTTTTAATTTAAACTACGATATTTATTTAATTGTTTACGCAACGACAAACAAAAATCTCTGAATCATTTTCAAAAATGGCGGAAATTTAATCATTCAATTTTTACTTTTTTTTTTGTGAAATATATTAATAATTAATAAAATTTAATTAATTTTTAATTATTTTTAGTTTTTCTGTGTTCGATAATAACAGAAATTGAAGGTCGAAGAGTTATTCTTACCGGAAGAAAAGCAATTACGAGAACTTATTACAGTAAGTTTTTATGTACCTAAAAATCCTTTTTTAATATTAAAAAATGGTAGGATCTTTTAAATAAGAATAATAATTATTATTATTATGTTAAAAAAAAACTTTATTTTAATTATCATTCTATAAAAGCTCCTCTTAGTAGATGATTACAATTCAAAATAACGTTTAATTTAATTTAATTTAATTTTTTTGCATGTTAGTTATTATTCAACAACAACAACTTTTCCATTTATAACCTTTTTTCCAATTTAATTTTTTCCAAATTAAAAAAATAAAAAAATAAAAAAAACGGCTGCAATTTTTTTATCATCCACTATCATTTATTATTATGAGTTATTATTATTATTATTACATTGACGGATTTAAAATTAAAAAAAAAAAATTCAAACACAAAACAAATAAAACTAATGACTGCTGATGTAAACAAATAATAATAGTAGTAGTAGTAATAATAATAATAACAACAATGAAATTTAAAATTAATTTTTAATTTAAAATTAACCGACTTTTTTTTTTGTTTCCAGAAAAACCTTTGATTCCAGCATGGGCGACGGTTACGTTGGTAGGCCTTTCCATGCTTGTTTTAGGCGGTGGAATTTATTTTTTACTTGATAAATTAATTTTGGGAGACGTGATACGCGGCCCCAAATTTTCAAGGGTATCAAAATCCGAAGTAGAAGTCTGATCGTAGTGACGTCATTTAATCAATGAAAATTATTATTATTATTTTTTGCTCTTTTTATACCTTAGACTAATTGTTAAATTTACTTTTAATATAATTTTCACTCTTTTTTTTTTCTATAATTTTTTTTCTTTTTTTTTAATGCGATTTTCCAACAGTTCTAGAACGGGAATAATTTTTTTCTTTTTTTTTTTTTTTTAATTTTTCTCGAGACTAAATTCAAATTATTTCCAATATTACAATTTAAAATTCTCTTCTGTGATACTTATCGGGATCGAAATACGATGTCACTACAACTCTATGATTAAATTTACGACCTGTCAAAGCTTGTTGAGCTTTTTGACAATCCAAAACCGAATTAAATTCGACGAAAACCTAAAAAAAAAAAAAAAAATGAAAAAAATTGTTAGCACAACAGAAACCGCCGATAAATTAATATAATCCGAAAAACAAATACAACCTTTCCACAACCAGGAACGTCCACGCCCAAAATAGGCCTTGGAATTTCTAATGACTTAACGACCCCGTGTTTGTTACATTCCTCTTTAATGTCCTCTAAAATATCCTCGTATTCTTCTTCGTCATTTAATTCGCTGGGAGTGACCATGTTTAGAAGACACAAAACCTACAATTACATTTTTAATTTTTTTATCAATATATCAAAAAAAAAAAAATATACTTATTGTTGTGTACTCATTTTCGATAATGACCTCTGTCGGCGGACCGGACATTCCCACGCTTGTCAATCCGGGTACCTGAATTTGAACCGGAGCTTGTTGACCCAAAGCTGTATTCTTAGCTCCGACACTCGCTCTTTGAACGATCAACTTTTTATCACCTAATTGCATTCCGTTAAGACCCGCTATGGCCTACAACAACAAATTATCATCGTTTTAAAAGAAAAATTCAAATAATTTTAAGTTCTCTCTCTCTCTCACACACACACACACATCTTACCTGATCCGTTACGTTTATGTCGACAAAGAGACAGAAAGCGTATCCCTTACTTAATCCGGTCGTTGAATCCATAACTAAATTGAATGCTCTTAACTGTCCAAAACTCATGAGAAGTTCTTTCAGCTAAAAAAAAAAACACGAGAAAAAATAATTAACTCACAAATTATTTTACTTAATTAAAGCACATCATTTTAATGAGTGTTTATGGGCACAAATCATCAATTTCGAAATTAATAAATATAAAATATAAGTCGTTCTTTCCAAAAAAAAAAAAAAAAAAAAAAAAAAAAACGAAATGGCGCATTTATTTTTGTGTATTTTTTCCCTTTTTTACAAATATAAAAAAAAAAATATTGATGATTGGTGTCATTTTTATTGTTTTATATTTAAATAATACTCACGACACAGAATTTGCTCACAGATTTTTTTTTTTTTTTTTTTTCGGCTATCTATAATTGTTCTGCAAATTTTAAAGCAGTTTATAACTTTTTTACTTTTTTACTTTTTTTTTTTTTGTATAATAGAATAACCAATTTTATTTACATACTTACCAATTTTACATTTAGTCGTTATGATCAGTTTTCTCATGATCGAAAAATGTAAAATTTAAATGTGTATTTATATTAAAAAAAAAAAAAAAAAATTTTTTTTAATGCAATTCCAATGTAATGAATTTAAATGGGCGAGAATAGTCATTTTTAAAGAATTTTTTTTTTTTTTTTTTTTGATTAATAAAAATTGGTTATTCTAATGAGACTAGCACCGCATCTGTTTTGTGAGTATTAAAAAATATGACTTGCCTGACTAGAAGATAGAGTACAACAATAGAAGCCATACAGAATCTCCAGAGTTGGACCAAGATGCCGGGGCGAGCCGCCTTTGGCTGTGACAAAGGGGAAACAGACGTACTGATCAGTATTCATGTACCTTCTTATTTTACTAAATAATTTAAATCAGTCAATCCAGGTTCATTATTCATATTTAAATTTAAATATCATATTGCCTATTTCTTTCTCTACGATTATCTCTACATTACATTTCGAATTTTATATAATTTTCAAACGCTTTAGAAACTTTTTTTTTTTTTTCTCTCATCGTATTACTACACGGTAATGTACCTGAATTAACTGATTTAAAACCCAAGATGTAGAATGAATGAAAGAATTCAACTGCTTAAAAAATTGTTTGTTTGCAAAATTTTAACTTTAACTTCCCTCCCCATCTAATATCGGTATAAATATAAAGTAAAATGAATTTGTGAAAAACCCCTTCCTTAAAACGCTAAAAATGTGTTTTTTTAAAACACGGGAGAACAAAAAAAAAAAAAAAAATGTTTTCAATGAATGTTAGGCTGAAAAAAAAGACCTGAAAAAAATCCCTGAAAAGGAAAATTTTTGAAGCTAAAAAAAAGAGATTTTGAAAAAAAAAAAAAAAAAAAAGAACAGGGAAATTCCGGCGGAATTGAAAAGGAAGGTGTCAAACTGAGGATATTTGACGGCGTGCCGATAGCAACCCTAAAGCTAAATAAAAAAAAAAAAAAAAAAGAAAACCCTGTTCAAAAAAAAAAAAATTAAAAAAAATGTCAAAACTTGGACGTCTTGTTTCCACCTTATCAGCCAACAGATAAAATAAAACGATCAACCTAAAACCTGTAAAGGGGTGTGCAATTTAAGACACCCCGTCAATGGCCAAATTTTTTTTCCCTCTTTTTTTGAAATATGTCTACAACGGGCTAAAAAATTTTCTTGGAGTTTTTTTTTTTTTTTAAATAAAAACCTTTAGAAATAATTTCAATATGGTATTTCAATACGGGGGGAAAATAATGATAACATCCTGCAAAAAGGGGAAAAAATTTTCTAAAATGATTGATTGAAATAAAATAAAAATATTTAATTCGATTGAAACTGTGTCAACTATAAAAAGAAAAAAAAATGAACGACAATGAAAATGAATACCAACTATTCCTGAACGCACAGGTTTTAAGATAAATGAAACTTTTGCAAATCTCAAAATGAAATTAAATGTTTGCACACCCCTAAGTATAAACAAAACCCTGGAAAAAAAGATTCAAAGCTCCTAATTGTGTGAAGTGGGCATCTCAAAATCCAATGAACACTTACCTGCTCTTTTAATTATTATGTAAAATAGTGACTGAATTATAAATAAAATTATTAGTTTCGATTGTCTGTATTCTAAACTTACAGAAAATAATTGAATAAATATAATATTAATAATAATAATAAATTTAAAGAAATAAAGTTTAGTTTTAATCATTCTTCACTTTCCTATTTGTTTTAATTTTTTCAATTTAAAAAAATTAATTAACAGCCTAAATAATTTTAAAATTTTCTCATTGAAATAAGACTACAGACAATCCAAAATTAATTAATTTAATTGCTTTTTTTTTTTTTAAATGAAAATAATCCTGAAAAAGCTAGCTCCAATTTAAAAAAAAAAAAAAAAAAAACTAATAATAAAAACAACCTGTAGAATAATAAAAATGAATTGATATATGATTTTTTGAAAAAAATAATTTCTCATTAAAATGCCCAAAAAAAAATTGCAGCTAAACCTGTTTCTGTAAGTTTAACACTTGCTTCATAAAAAAAAAAAATTATACTTATTAAGTAATATTTTTTTCAATAACATACCTGATCCTCATTTAAATAATTAGGAAGGCCTCCGATAAATATTTTATGTGGAGAATCAGGTACCACTGTACTTATTACGCCAGCTAAAATTGAAAATAAAAAAATTAAATTTAAAAATTTATATGTTAATCAGGATTTACAGGTAAATAATAATTTAATAAACATACCTGGAACATTAACTGAAGGATTTTCAGACATCCCTGGCATTGGTTGATAATCATGAGGTCTTCTAATTTTTAAACTTTGTCCTTTAAAATTTATACCATCAAATGCCATAGCCTGAGTTGTTTCATCTATGGATCGAAACTGAAAAAAAGCAATTTAAATTTAATTAGTTTCATGAATTTATACTTATTTCATTTAGCAAATAATACTTACCTCTAAAAATGCAAAGTTTTTGTCCAAATTAATTTGACAAGCTAAAACTGGATTTCCAGCTGCCTGTGCCAATCCGCTAAGATGCATTTGTTGATTGAAAAACTCCATCATTTCTTCTTCGGTAACACCAAAGGGAATATTACCCACATACAATCTCCTTGCTTGGCGTGTAATAGTTGAACCAACAACTGGAACTGCTGCTTGGGGAGTGTCAGCCACTACATTTGCTGGTATTTGACCTGCAGCTTGCATGGCTTTATACTGTAAAGGCGTAATATGTTCAAACCCAGGAGGTGGGACATCCCAATACAAAGAAGGTTTACGTCGACGACTACTACGCTTATCCCGACCTCGTGACCTATGTTATACAGTAAAATTAACGTGAATACGTTCATAAAATTAATTAGCGTATAAATTTTTTTTAAAAAAATTCACACCCTGATTTACTTCTTCTTCTATCTTTCCTATCTCTACTTCTAGATCTAGATTTTCTTTCTCGACTTCTAGATTTCGATCTTTTTTTACGATCCCTAGATCGTGATCTCTTTCTTCTATCCCTATCTTTATCCCTGTCCTTGTCACGATCTCTGTCTCTATCTAAAATGACAAAATTTATAATTACACAGCAGAAAATTAACAATACCCAAAAAAAAAAAATTAAATGTAATTTTTAAATAACCTTTATTATCTTCTCCCATTTTAATAATATAAATAAAAAGTAACTTTTTTTTAAAAACTTTAAATCACTGCGTCAAAATAAAAAACAACATACAAATTAAACTGTAAATATTTATTCGAATTGAAATAACTACAATAATTACACCTATTACGAGCCGAAGCGGTCAATATTAAATATGGCGGATGATGCTCAGTCTTTGACGCTCCAACTAATTCTGACTTTCAACCTACGACAAATCGACTTGTTGCCTTACCAAAATTTTTAATGCATTTAAACCATATAAAAAAAAAAGAAATCAATTAATAAAAAGACAAAAACGGAAATAATTTACAATTAAAAAAATATAAAATTTTGTATTTTTTACACTGCTACTATTATTATATAAAATTATTTTTAATTAAAAATAAAAAACTGATGGTGCCACATTTCTAATTAAATTATTACCATTAACTCTTTAAAATCCAATTAATTGTTAAAATATAATTTGTCCTGATACTTTTAAAGTTACAGATTGCAATAAAAAAGGCAAAAGTTTTTTTACACACCAATAAAATTAAAAATAAAGAAAAAAAAACATAAGAAGTTCCAATTAACAAAAAAAAAAAACAAAAAATAAGAGTGTCATTCTTCTTGGTAATTCATCAAATTGAAAACATGAAACAAATTAAAAAAATATTTTTAAATTAAATGAATTAAAATGTTTTTTCCAGAGAGAGAGAGAGAGAAAGTAAAAAAAAAAAATTTTTTTTTAAACATTAAAATTACAAACGATTAGTTCAATTGATAAATGTATTTATTCCTTAGGAAATCATTTATTTAATTCAATTCGTATTAACTCCCACACAATTCAATTAAATCTTTACAAAGGTATTTTATATGTAAAGGTGGGAGTAAAAAGCAACAGGAACATAGGGAATATAAAGTAATTATTTTTTTTTTTACCGATAAATATACAACAACTCAACGAATAAATAAATAAATAAATAAATTATTTCACTTGTATAAAATTTATTTTACAAATTTTTTTTCACCCCCTCCCCTTTCCCTCCTTTTGCTTTTTAAATATTTAAACGATTAATTACATTCACAACCAAAAACCAATCATTAAAAGTTTTCTTTTTTTTTTTTTTGTCTAATAATAATTTTATTAAAAAAAATTCTTGGAAGCAAAAAAAAAAAGTAATAATAATACAGTAAATTTTTCTTTTTAAATTTAAACTTATTTTGTTTGTTTAGTAATTTTTTTTTTTTTTTATTATTAAACAAAAAAAAAATTAGCCACACAATAATATTATGTATAGAATCGTAGTAAATTTTCATTAAATGGTATAAAAAAATAAAAAAAAATTACCTAACACACGTAAATTGCAATTCAAATTTTAAAATAAATGAGAAATTTTATCTAAGAAAATAAATCACTTAAGAAAGTAAAAGTTGTCATGTTACTTTTGGTTTACAAACAAATAAAATGTAATTTCTACGTGTTTTCTAGTAAAACTTTTTTTTTTTTTTTTAAAAGGTTTTAAATTTTTTTATTTACATTTTTTTTTTGTCAAATGACAATTAAATTAATTAATAAAATAAAAGTATTTTTAACAAAACAAAAAAAAAACGTGACAATTCATTTAGAAAATAAAATGTAATTGAAGAAAATAAAATTTTTTTTTTTTTATAAATAGAAAATCTATTTTTAATTTGTTAAATAAGAAAAAATTAAAAAAAAAACTTTTGCTTTAAATATAAATATCGATTCGAATAATTTTTAAGATTTTACACTAAAGAAGAAGAAAATAATAATAATAATAATAAACTTCAATAAATGTTTTATTTTTTTATATGTTATATATCATTTTTTTCATATCCGCTTTACACACAATTTCTTTACATATTTTTTTTTATCGTAAAAATGAATGAAATGATTAATATTTTATATTTATTCTACAAATATATTTATTTATTTATTTTTTTTTTTCACATTTGTAAATAAGCGATGTTTTTTTTTCGGTAGTTAATAAAATAAATAAATAAATTTACATTTTACATAAAATAAAATTTTATTTTTCAATTCCTATTTATTTTTTTTTTCAATGCTTTCTTACAGAACAAGTTGCATACAAACAAAATTCAAAGCGTCATTTTTAATATTTACTTTTATATACCTATTTGAGGGGGAGGGGGGAAACGGTTTTAATTCGTAATTATAAAAATATATAATTC